GGGGAGAGGCAGGAGAGTGCATGGAGGGAGTGGAGTGAGATGAGAGGGGAGAGGCAGGAGAGTGCATGGAGGGAGTGGAGTGAGATGAGAGGGAGAGAGGCAGGAGAGTGCGTGGAGGGGAGTGGAGTGAGATGAGAGGTAAGAGGTAGGAGAGTGCGTGCAAGGGAGTGGAGTGAGATGAGAGGGGAGGCGTGAGCGGTTGGGAGTCAGCGGAGAGTCTCGACAGCGGAGAGCTCCACCGTGGAGCCATGCGGTAGGGCTCCGGGTGCCGTGCCGAGAGATTCCGACTCCCCGTTCCTTCACCATCATCAGAGGCCTCTCCTCCCGGAGCGGCCTCTGCTCGGCTCATGGTGCCCAGCCCTGGTGGTTTGGTGCAGGCGGTCACATCGTGCGTCCCACCCTGACCGCTACGAGTTCACCCCCCCCCCCCCCCTTGTTGTCTCCTGGCACGCAGGGCACCTGCCAAGGCCCGGAAATGGGCATCTGCTACTCCTGCTGCAGGCTCAGAGGGGGTTATGAGCAGCTGGACGGCGATGATGTGAGTCGTGACGATGACGAACACTGCGCTAACACCGCTTAGATATGCATTGTCATTTGCGTGAACATGTTAAACCTCGGTTTCACACGCGGTAGGCTTTCGCGACCAATATCATCCATAACACTGGTCAAAAAAAAAAATGATGGCATGGAGTTTTGCAGCTGTTTTAGACTAATTTCAGGGTGTTGATTCCAAATCTGATCTCAGATTTGCTCTATCACATCTCGTTTTTATGCTATCGGCATACCCCATTTTCATTGATTTTACCCGAAATTAACTCTGTCACTTATGATTGCAAGTTGTTGCGAGTCAGTGACTGCTTTAGTGTTAAAATATGGTGCTGTATTTTTAGGAAAGTGTGTTTATAATATCATTTTATGTAGATATCCACATTTATTTAATATTTTTCTTCTGCAGTTTTTATTGAAAATGCAATATTTGATATCTCAAAAACCTAGACAACCTAACCTTTTATTGATAGACAAAAACTGATGCCAGATTTGAAATCAGCACCCAAAAATTACCTTAAAACCGTTGGAATACCTTATGCCAGAAAAAGTGTGTTGACCAGCGTAATACATCGCGTAAATACAGGGTGTTTAAGAGAGACGGACCCAATTTCAAAGCAGTGTATTTCACGATGGCAACATGTCACAGTTACACAAACAGTTACAAACGGTTTAATGAGTTATCAAGTTTTACTAACCATTTTATAAATGCTCTGCGTGCCCTCCACCTGCTGTACGGACAACATCGAGACAATTGAATAATAATAGGGGTTTTCCCCTTTTTTCTGGCAACAAAACTGAAACCTTTTTACAAGGATTCATGTCTGCATTGACCACAATACTTGCAGTCAAAATGCAAACAAAAAACACACTATGATAATAAATGCATTGTCCTTGAAACTGATTGGTCCACACCAAGGGACGACTTTCTTTTGAGCCTCGACCCAATTGGTGCTAGACCAGAGGACGCCAAAAGGCGTACAGCTCAAAGACAATGCACTATCACAGTAACGAGGGCTCGGGGTGAGCATCTACATCATTAGACCTCCTTTGCCAGTACCAACATATAATAATAGGATTCACCCCCTTTTTTCTGGCAACAAAACTGAAACCTTTTTACGAGGATTCATGTCTGCATTAACCACAATACTTGCAGTCAAAATGCAAACAAAAACACACTCTGATATTATAAAAAAAAGGGGAAACCCCTATTATTATATTTTGGTACTGGCAAAGGAGATCTAATGATGATCGAGACGATTGTTGAATTCGTCCCAAACGCCTCTCAAAGTGTCTGCTTCCACTGAAGTCACCGCTGCCGTGATTCTGTTTTTGAGGTCATCCAGATTAGTCGCTAACGGTGGCACAAAAACAACACGGTCTTTGACGTATCCCCACAAGAAAAAGTCGCAGGGTGTGATGATGTCTGGGGGGGATCTTGGGGGCCAAGAGTGTAGCGCCAAGTCTTGGGGTCCCGTGCGACCTATCCAACGTTGAGGCAGTGTTGTCTTGCGAATGACTGCCGCGGCTTATCGCATCCTTCCAATGATTGCTCAATCTGAATCCATCTTCTCGATTAAAGTTGTGTCTGTATATCTGGATGGCTTCGTGAACAAATCTCTGATGGTGGTCCCGAGGGGTTTGCAGAGCACCTTGGTCTCGGATAAAACAATGCCACGTGTGCCCACAGCGTTGAAACAGTGATCCGCCACCGCCGAGGTGTTGGTTCTGCTGTGTTTCAAATCCGCTTTGTGTTCGCGACCCCGGTCTGAGACACGTCGCTTCGTTTCACCAATGCAACTGCTGCCGCAGACACAACTCAGCTTAAATTTCGATTTGAAGCTTTCGTGACTGCAGGGATTCATCTTCTTGGTTCTTTCGGTAAAGTCACGTAGAAGGGAGATAATACAATAATAAAAATAAAACATAATAAAATAATACAATTCGCACTATTATTTTATTATGTTTTATTGTTATTATTTTATTATCTCCCTTCTACGTGACTTTACCGAAAGAACCAATAAGACAACTCAGCTTGGATGTCCTCAATCGCGTCCTTCACTGATGGGATCACCTGCAGTCACGAAAGCTTCAAATCAAAACCTATTCTTATTTTTTTATACTTTGCTGTTGCCAAAACAGGTCTCGTGGTATATACACACACACACACATTTGTCTAGACCGCAGTGGTGACACAGCTGACAGAATTCATAACCAGGCCCCCCCTTGCTGCCACTCGAACGCTCTCGCGCCGATGGTGAAACCTGCAGGGCCGGTCGGAGCGGGCCAGTGCAGGCTTCTGATTGCCAAAAGTGTGATTCCTCAGGAACGTTTTTAAAAAAATTCGTATATTGCCGCAAGCGGTCAACTGCATCCTGGTTTATTTGCTATTGAAATCACGCACGCATTGTTGCTATCGGTGGTCCCCCGAGATGCGATTATTACACTGTGTAACAGTGCAATGACCGCCTTTGTCTCCCCAGTGGCGATGTTTACACACCACGTACTCATTTCAGGCTGAGTTGACCTAGGGGAGCCCCAGCACCGGTTCAGATAATCGTCACCGGTGTTGGCCGTGAGCGGGAATCGAACCAGGGTCGCTAGGTTTTTAGCGGAGCGCGCAAACCGCTGCACTACCGCTATATATATACACAACAACAACACAACAACAACACAACAACAACAACCGCCATTCGCCACTAAGTGGCGGTGACGTCACCACGACGCTTGTGCCAGGCCATGTGCACCTTGAGGCCACGTGAAGTGTCGAACGCCCGCTGGCAGGAGGTCACGGGACAGACCCAGGTGCCACAGGTCGACTGACTGAGATGACTGAGATGACTGGCTGATGCACCACCTGTGCCCCCTACTGTGCCAACAACAACCGCCACTCGCCACTAAGTGGCGGTGACGTCACCACGACGCTTGTGCCAGGCCATGTGCACCTTGAGGCCACGTGAATTGTCGAACGCCCGCTGGCAGGAGGTCACGGGGCAGACCCAGGTGCCACGGGTCGACTGACTGAGATGACCGAGATGACTGGCTGATGTCACCGCCTGTGCCCCCTACTGTGCCAACAACAACCGCCATTCGCCACTAAGTGGCGGTGACGTCACCACGACGCTTGTGCCAGGCCATGTGCACCTTGAGGTCACGTGAATTGTCGAACGCCCGCTGGCAGTAGGTCACGGGGCAGACCCAGCAGGTGCCACGGGTCGACTGACTGAGATGACCGAGATGACTGGCTGATGCACCACCTGTGCCCCCTACTGTGCCAACACACATACACACAGGGTGCTTAATTTTTTTAAACACTTATACAGGACTATCGTTTTTAATGAAAAAATTACGGATAATAACACACTTTAACGTGATAACAAATGTGATGTTAATAGCTTCAAAAAAATCAAAGAGGCTCTCCCATACTCTTTGGTTCTTCCGATAAAGTCACGTGGGTATAAAACATAAAATACAAATTAAATCACGACGTTTCGATCGCAACATAAGCGACCGTCATCAGGTGGAACCGATACAGCAGGACAACTGCTGATTTAGGAGAAAGATCCGCTAACACTTCCAATCTAGAATGAGTCTCTCCCATTTGTTCTCCATCGTTGTCGACGCGTGCCTGGAATCTTCTCCAGGTGGTCTCCCGAGGTGGCACATTTCACGTGGTAATTGTTGCAAATTCTCAGAAGTGTTCACATTTGTTTGAAGCACCCCACGTGTATATATATATTTTTAAACATGTAAACTTTACCGAAAGAACCAAATAATAATTATACATTTCGATTTAAAGCTTTCGTGACTGCAGGGATTCATCTTCTTGGTTCTTTCGGTAAAGTCACGTAGAAGGGAAGTAATAAAATAATACAAATAAAACATAAAATAATTCTCACGACGTTTCGGCCACAACGCAAGCAGCCGTCCTCAGGTGAAGGACGGCTGCATGCGTTGTGGCCGAAACGTCGTGAGAATTATTTTATTATGTTTTATTTTTTTTATTTTATTACTTCCCTTCTACGTGACTTTACCGAAAGAACCAAGAAGAATAATTATACACGTTAAATCAACTCTATTCTTGAAAGATCCTCGTCAAAAGCTGACGACGACGACGACGACGTTCCGCACCCCCCCCCTCCTCCAGAATCCAGGCGACCCCACGCCACCACCGGCCGGGACCCCCAGCGAGGGCGAAGGGCTACACGACCTGGGGATTCACCACGGCCACCTCAAGGTTCCTCTCGTGGATCTGGAGTCCCCCGGGTGGGAGGGCCGCCCGTCGACGAACTCGAACGGCCCCGCCGACCCCAGCCGCGCGGGGCCGTGTCCTCCACCGTGCCCCTCCGTCGATGTCCCCTCCGCTGGAGTCCCTGGCCAGACCCCTCGGGGTCCCGCTAAGGCGGCCCCGCAGCCGCAGCTGCAGCCACCGCCGCCACCGCCGCCGCCGCCACCGCCACAACCTCCCCCCATGCCTGGGATGCCGGACACGGCGAGGATTCCGCCGTGGCTCAAGGCCAAGAAGAAATACGACAAGAGGCGGGCGACCCGGCCTGTCAGGTGGCAGATGGTGGGTACCACACAGACAGAGATCCCCCCGTGTAGCCTCGACAGACTGTCGGGGCAAGTGCTCTTCGCGAGCAGTACCTATGAAGGGCGTAACGGTACACGAGGTGGGTGGGTGGCCAGCACCACGCCCTACCGCCATTGTCTCCCCAGGGGCGATGTTTACTACACACCGCACCAGGTACTCGTTTGAGGCTGAGTCGACCTAGGGGAGGCCCAGGACCGGTTCAGATAATTGTCAACAGCGTTGGCCGTGAGCGGGAATCGAACTCGGGACGCCGGGTTCGTAGCGCAGCGCGCTAACCACTACACTACCGCTCCCCAACACACAAGCATACACACACACCCACTCACCCACCCCCTCATCCACCACTCACCCACCCACCCACTCATCCACCACTCACTCACCCACCCCCTCATCCACCACTCACCCACCCACACGTGGTGAGTGCCGGTCCAATCCATTGTCAATCGTCGCCATCTCCATTCGCCAGCTCATGGTGACCACCTGATCGTTCTGCGCTCTTGAGTAGCTCATACTCACACACCCACTCACCTACTCAGCGGTCCACTGGCCTGGAACTCACCTACCCACTCGGTCACCTACTCACCCACCCACCCACTCACCTACCCACTCAGTCACCTACTCACCCATCCACTCACCTACTCACCTACCCGCTCACCTACTCAGCGGTCTGTTGGCGTGGAACTCACCTACCCACTTAGTCACCTACTCACCCACCCACCCACTCACCTACCCACTCACTCACCTACTCACCCATCCACTCACCTACTCACCCACCCGCTCATATACTCAGCGGTAACATTGGCCAGGAACTCACCTACCCTCTCACTCACCTACTGACCCACCCACTCACTTACTCACCTACCCAATCACTCACCTACTCACCCGCCCACTCACCTACTCATACCCACCCACTCATCTACTCATACCCACTCACTCACCTACTCACCCGCCCACTCACCTCTGTGTGTGTCTCTCTGCCCGTGCGGCGTTCTGGCCGCAGATCGCCCCCAGCGCCATGGAGAGGAGGAGTGTGTGGAGCAGAGCCGACGAGGCACGATTCGACAGCCCCCAGTTCCAGGCACAGCTCCTGCGGGCATTCGCGGGTCAGAGCTGGGGCAGTTCGACGTCCGGGGGGGGCAGGGGGGGTCATAGTGCCACGAGGTCATCGTGTCACCGGGTCATTTGTAATCACCTGGTCGCAGTTCCACGACGGAATTTGCTTTTGTGTTTTCACGGGGTCATGGCAACTCTCACGGGGGTATTGGTATGATGGGGTCATGGGTCAGATTCTCACGGGGATATTGGTATAATGGGGTCATGGGTCAGATTCTCAAGGGGGTATTAGTATAACGGGGTCATGGGTCAGATTCTCACGGGGGTATTGGTATAACGGGGTCATGGGTCAGATTCTCACGGGGGTAGTGGTATAACGGGGTCATGGGTCAGATTCTCACGGGGGTAGTGGTATAACGGGGTCATGGGTCAGATTCTCACGGGGGTATTGGTATAACGGGGTCATGGGTCATATTTTCACGGGAGTATTGGTATAACGGGGTCATGGGTCAGATTCTCACGGAGGTAGTGGTATAACGGGGTCATGGGTCAGATTCTCACGGGGAAATTGGTATAACGGGGTCATGGGTCAAATTATCACGGGTGAATTGGTATAATGAGGTCATGGGTCAGATTCTCACGGGGGTATTGGTATAATGGGGTCATGGGTCAGATTCTCACGGGGGTATTGGTATAACGGGGTCATGAGTCAGATTCTCACGGGGGTATTGGTATAACGGGGTCAGAGGTCAGATTCTCACGGGGATATTGGTATAATGGGGTCATGGGTCAGATTCTCACGGGGGTATTGGTATAATGGGGTCATGGGTCAGATTTTCACGGGAGTATTGGTATAACGGGTTCATGGGTCAGATTCCCACGAGGGTATTGGTATAACGGGGTCATGGGTCAGATTCTCACGGGAGTATTGGTATAACGGGGTCATGGGTCATATTTTCACGGGAGTATTGGTATAACGGGGTCATGGGTCAGATTCTCACGGAGGTAGTGGTATAACGGGGTCATGGGTCAGATTCTCACGGGGAAATTGGTATAACGGGGTCATGGGTCAAATTATCACGGGTGAATTGGTATAATGAGGTCATGGGTCAGATTCTCACGGGGGTATTGGTATAATGGGGTCATGGGTCAGATTCTCACGGGGGTATTGGTATAACGGGGTCATGAGTCAGATTCTCACGGGGGTATTGGTATAACGGGGTCAGAGGTCAGATTCTCACGGGGATATTGGTATAATGGGGTCATGGGTCAGATTCTCACGGGGGTATTGGTATAATGGGGTCATGGGTCAGATTTTCACGGGAGTATTGGTATAACGGGTTCATGGGTCAGATTCCCACGAGGGTATTGGTATAACGGGGTCAGAGGTCAGATTCTCACGAGGGTATTGGTATAACGGGGTCATGGGTCAGATTCTCACGAGGGTATTGGTATAACGGGGTCATGGACCAGATTCTCACTGGGATATTGGTATAACGGGGTCATGGGTCAAATTATCACGGGTGAATTGGTATAATGAGGTCATGGGTCAGATTCTCACGGGGGTATTGGTATAATGGGGTCATGGGTCAGATCCTCACGGGGGTATTGGTATAACGGGGTCATGGGTCAGATTCTCACGAGGGTATTGGTATAACGGGGTCATGGGTCAGATTCTCACGGGAGTATTGGTATAACGGGTTCATGGGTCAGATTCTCACGAGGGTATTGGTATAACGGGTTCATGCGTCAGATTCTCACGAGGGTATTTGTATAACGGGGTCATGGACCAGATTCTCACTGGGATATTGGTATAACGGGGTCATGGGTCAAATTATCACGGGTGAATTGGTATAATGAGGTCATGGGTCAGATTCTCACGGGGGTATTGGTATAATGGGGTCATGGGTCAGATTCTCACGGGGGTATTGGTATAACGGGGTCATGAGTCATATTCTCACGGGGGTATTGATATAACGAGGTCATGGGTCAGATTCTCACGGGGATATTGGTATAATGGGGTCATGGATCAGATTCTCACGGGGGTATTGGTATAACGGGGTCATGGGTCAGATTATCACGAAGATATTGGTATCACGGGTTCATCTGGTCATGGATTGCAGTGGGGCAATCATCTCGTGGTGGCTAGGAGATGTTAACTCTATCTTCTGGTATGCAGGAGGTCGTGAGTTCAATCTCGACCCTGACACCTGCTGTATATTTGGAGTTTGCATGTTGCAGTCTAGGTCCTCCAGTTTTCCCCTCCACATTTAAAATCGACATCACGGTTTAGAGTGTTTGGCCGCTATACATTTCCGCGCGTTAAGCCCACTTTGTTGAGCTATCATTTGTGGCCGGTTCGCTTCTGAGAAAAAAAAATCTACATAGCTCAGTGGGGCCTTACCTGGTAAAAATAAAAAAAACAAAATCGCTTCGTTGAAATAGTTCAACAGCTTAATTACTCACGTTTTCAGAAGGGCGCTGAAGATCCAACGAAAAGGGCTACGGAGCGCCGTGTCCAAAATTTAAGTCCCGTTGGTTCTTTGCTTCTTTCTCAACGGCGGTGTGACGAGCGCGCCTCGTCCCAGTCCCGGCCTGCCCGCCAAATCACACCGCGTTGCGTCCTCACTTCTCCATTGTCGCTGTCATCATCAGTCACCAGTCACGCTTGTAGCATAGGCCCCGGGCAGCCGGAGCGCCTCGGCTTCGGCTCAGGTAGACGACGAGGTGAGAGCGGTTGGGGAACTCGCGGTGTGCGGGCGCGACCGGTGTGATGATGACGACGATGGCGACTGCGGGGTCGTGTGGGTCTCGTGGTGACGGTGCCGCCACTGCTGCTGCCGTGTTGCAGCTAAGCAGCCCAGGGCCGGAGGGTCAACCGGAGCGACGTCTCTGCCAACTCCCACGTCCCCCGCTGAGGCCTCCTCGGTCTTCAGTAAAGACGTCTTGCAGAATTTTGGTGAGAGGGACAGCCATGAGCTCCCACCCCCACTCCTACCCCACTGCCCCCACGCCTACCCCACCACTCCTACCCCACCACCCCCACTCCTACCACACCACTCCTACCCCACCACCCCCACTCCTACCCCACCACCTCCACTCCTACCACACCACTCCTACCCCACCACCCCCACTCCTACCCCACCACCTCCACTCCTACCCCACCACTCCGACCCCACCCCCCACCACTCCTACCCCACCACCCCCACTCCTACCCCACCACTCCGACCCCACCACTCCTACCCCACCACCCCGGGGCCCCGTGTCGCTCCCAGATTCGGGGAAACTCCCAAACAGCCGCCGAGGTGGCCAGGAGAGGTGAGACAGCAGCCGCCCCTAGGGGGTACAACGGCGAATCGGGGATGACTGCCCTGGGCCCCGCGCTGGGGGGGTCCCCCACTCCCCCCCCCCCCCCGCGCTTCGACGTCACGGCGTCAGATTTCAGGTTTAGTTTGAAGGCGTCGAGGGCGAAGGGTGGTGAGGGGGGGGGGGGGCACACGTCGTGATTTGCCCCGGGGCCAGTGGACGGCAGCGTGGCCAGCGGGTTCGCGAGCCCCCCGTCCCGCGTCGTCGCCCACCTTGAGCGGGGGGGGGGTCATCATCTCCTTGACAAGCGGGTCGAACTCTCTCTCCGGGTTCTCCCGGTCGTGTCTCTTCCCCCCCCTCTACCCTGCCTCTACGCGAAGGGTCGGCGATCGAATTCGCGGAATTGACCGACCGTTCCAATGTAGCGCGGCACTGCATAGCGGCACTGTCGTGGACAAACAAAAACCCCAAAACGTCTTGGGATTCAGTGACGCCCTCCCGGACAAATACACGAGCCTATAAGCGAGGGGTCGTGACTGCGGTGATTATCCGACTCCCTGTCTCCTCTCATCCTGACCCGTCCCCCCCCCGCGCCCCCCGCCACCGCGCATGCAGACATCTTGACAAAGTCGGCGAAGGTGTCGTACGATGAGATCGCGAGGGCCACCCTGACGGGAGACATGGCCTCTCTCTCCCACATCAAAAGCATCAAGGTAAACCGAGCGGTCGCGGCACGTGCACCCTGCGCCTGTCACGTGCTCCACGTGTATGTCACGTGAGCCGGTGAGTCACGTGAGCTGTGGTGGCTAGGAGATGTTAACTACCTCGCCTGGTATACAGGAGGTCGCGGATTCGATCCCGACCATGACGATGCCTGCTGCTGTATATTTGGAGTTTGCGGTGTCTCTCTGATCATCACGCTGGCTAGGAGATGTTAACTCCATCGCCTGGTCTACAGCAGGTCACGGATTCGATCCCGACCCTGACGCCTGCTGCTGTATATTTGGAGTTTTCAAGTCTCTCTCTCTCCTCGCGGTCGCGTGTATTTACCCCCGGGTTTCTCCTCCACGGTTATAATTAACATCACGCGTTTTAGAGTATTCGGCTGCTGAAAATGTCTACGTGACGATGAACGGCCACTTCGTTGGGCTATCGCTCGTGGCCCAGGTCGCTTCTGAAAAAGAGCTTCATAGCTCAGTGGGGCTTTACCTCGGGGGGGGGGGGGGGGATAGTTTGAATAGTTTATTTCACGTGCTTGCTGGTGTGTCACGCTCGCCCCACCCGCGTGTGTGTGTCACGCGTGGGGGTGAGCTTGACAAAAGACAAAGATCCCCCATATAGCCTTAACAGACTGTAGGGGCAAGTGCTGTTAGCGAGCACCTATGAAGGCCGGAACGGTACACGAGGGGGTGTGTGGCCAGCACCACGCCCGACCGCCTTTGCCTCCCTAGTGGCAATGTTTACACACCGCACCAGGTACTCATTTGAGGCTGAGTCGACTTAGGGGAGGCCCGGGACCGGTTCAGATAATCGTCACTGATGTTGGCCATGAAAGGGAATCGAACCCGTGTCGCCGGGTTTATAGCGCAGCGCGCTAACCGCTACACCACCACTCCCCACAAGGGTGAGCTCGACACACACACACGCGCGTGACCCACGCGACCCGGGTTCGATTCCCACTCGCGGCCAACGCCAGTGACGATGATCTGAACCGGTCCTGGGCCTCCCCTAGGTCGACTCAGCCTCAAAATGAGTACCTGGTGCAATGTGTAAACATCGCCACCGGGGAGACGAAGGCGGCTGGGCGTGGTTCTGGCCACCCACCCCCTCGTGTGCCACCGTGCCGGCCGTCATAGGTGCTGCTCGCTAACAGCACTTGCCCCAGCAGGTTGTTAAGGCCACACGGGGGATCTGTGTCCCGTGCGCCCACAGGGCCTGCTCGCATCGCTGCAGAAGATAAACGAGGAGGAGGAGCTGGCGCTGAGAGAGAGGCAAGGCCAGGGGGCCCCCCTGCAGCCCCCCGAGTTGTTCTACTTGCAGGTCGACATTCAAGTCTCCGTCTGCGTCGTCATTTCCCACCTCACCCCCTGCCCCCCGGTGCAAACCTGTCAACCCCTTATCAGTGCACCCTACCTTATTACAGACAAATTCAGACCTTGTTGGTCACCCCGTGCCCCTTAGAAATCTCAACGTTCATCCTACACAAAGTCGCATCACAAGGGAGAAACACAAACAAATAGACCCAACCACGTATTTATTTGGCCCGTATTGAAACGTCTGTACGCCGTATGGACCTGCAAACTCAATCTCTCCTGTACAAGAATACGGGCTAAACCGTACGGTTGTGACAGTATGGCGGCATCACTGCCGATCTGTCCTCTCGGCATCAACGTCACGATGGTAGTGGTGGTGGCTACCGCTGCACGCAGCCTGCCTGGAATCCTGCGCTGTGGGTAAGAGATCACCGCACAGACGTTGCGAACCTTCCTCCTGTCCTTGGGTGGAGCTTTTGAGGAGGTTCCGGCACCCCTCGTCTGGCAGGACAAGGCGGTTAGAGCGAGCGTGGACATCTGCAGTGGTATCGAGTGTTTCCCCCTCGCACAAGGCGTGGGATTCTCTCCGGATGCTCCGGTTTACCTCTCCCACCCCCCCCCCCCCCAAACTTGTATAATAAACACAACTCATTATGAGTTGGCTGAAAACATCGGAAAATAAAAAGCGAATGCAGGACCGCCCCCCTCCCCTTCTGATCGACACTCTGTGTGGCTCTCCTAGATAAATACGTTAATTACTATTATTGGTAATCATACATTATTAAGTCATGAGTTAAAGTGTAAAGAAGCTCCTGCACAGGTTCCATTTTCTAGACTATTTATTTTACAGTAACGTATTTACAAGGCAAGAGTATGACTAACGGCTATGACTATCTGCAGCCCTGGTGGTTTACCACTAGATTAATCTCGAACAGTCCTTCTTGATGGTTTCCACCATGTAGATCTCGAACAGTCCTTCTTGATGGTTTCCACCATGTAGATCTCGTACAGTCCTTCTTGATGGTTTCCACCATGTAGATCTCGGATCGTCCTTCTTGATGGTTTCCACCATGTAGATCTCGTACAGTCCTTCTTGATGGTTTCCACCATGTAGATCTCGGATCGTCCTTCTTGATGGTTTCCACCATGTAGATCTCGTACAGTCCTTCTTGATGGTTTCCACAATGTAGATCTCGGACAGTCCTTCTTGATGGTTTCCACCATGCAGATCTCAGAAGTCTTTCTTGATGGTTTCCACCATCTAGATTTCAGACAGTCTTTCTTGATGGTTTCTACCGTGTAGATCTCGGACAGTCTTTCTTGATGGTTCCTACCAAATAGATCTCGGACAGTTCTTCTGGATGGTTTCCACCATGTAGATCTCGGACAGTCCTTCTGGATGTAGATCTCGGACAGTCCTTCTGGATGGTTTCCACCATGTAGATCTCGGACAGTCTTTCTTGATGGTTTCTACCATGTTAATCTCAAACAGTCCTTCTTGATGGTTTCTACCATGTTGATCTCAAACAGTCTTTCTTGATGGTTTCCACCATGTAGATATCGGACAGTCCCTCTGGATGGTTTCCACCATGCAGATATTGGACAGTCTTTCTTGATGGTTTCCACCGTGTAGATCTCGGAGAGTCTTTCTTGATGGTTTCCATCATGTAGATCCTGGACAGTCCTTCTTGATGGTTTCCACCATGTAGATCTCGGGCAGTCCTTCTTGATGGTTTCTACAATGTAGATCTCGAACAGTCCTTGATGGTTTTCACCATGTAGATCTCGAACAGTTCTTCTTGATGGTTTCCACCATGTAGATCTCGGGCAGTCCTTCTTGATGGTTTCTACAATGTAGATCTCGAACAGTCCTTGATGGTTTTCACCATGTAGATCTCGAACAGTTTTTCTTGATGGTTTCCACCATGTAGATCTCGGACAGTCCTTCTTGATGGTTTCCACCATCTAGATTTCAGACAGACTTTCCTGATGGTTTCCACCGTGTAGATCTCGGACAGTCTTTTTTGATGGTTTCTACCAAATAGATATCGGACAGTCCTTCTGGATGGTTTCCACCATGCAGATCTCGGACAGTCTTCCTTAATGGTTTCCACCATCTAGATCTCGGACAGTCTTTCTTGATAGTTTCCACCATGTAGATCTCGGACAGCCCTTCTTGATGGTTTCTACCATTTAGATCTCGGACAGTCCTTCTTGATGGTTTCCACCATGTATATCTCGAACAGTTCTTCTTGATGGTTTCCACCATGTAGATCTCAGACAGTCTTTCTTGATAGTTTCCACCATGTAGATCTCGGACAGTCCTTCTTGATGGTTTCCACCATGTAGATCCCGAACAGTCCTTCTTGATGGTTTCCACCATGTAGATCTCGGACAGTCTTTCTTGATGGTTTCCACCATGTAGATCTCGAACAGTCCTTCTTGATGGTTTCCACCATGTAGATCTCGAACAGTCTTTCTTGATGGTTTCCACCATGTAGATCTCAAACAGTTCTTCTTGATGGTTTCCACCATGTAGATCTCGAACAGTCCTTCTTGATGGTTTCCACCATGTAGATCTCAGACAGTCTTTCTTGATGGTTTCCACCATGTAGATCTCGGACAGTCCTTCTTGATGGTTTCCACCATGTAGATCTCGAACAGTCCTTCTTGATGGTTTCCACCATGTAGATCTCGAACAGTTCTTCTTGATGGTTTCCACCATGTAGATCTCGGACAGTCCTTCTTGATGGTTTCCACCATGTAGATCTCGAACAGTTCGTCTTGATGGTTTCCACCATGTAGATCTCGGACAGTCCTTCTTGATGGTTTCTACCATGTAGATCTCAGACAGTTCTTCTTGATGGTTTCTACCATGTAGATCTCGGACAGTCCTTCTTGATGGTTTCCACCATGTAGATCTCAGACAGTCCTTCTTGATGGTTTCTACTATGTAGATCTCGGACAGTCCTTCTTGATGGTTTCTACCATGTAGATCTCAGACAGTCCTTCTTGATGGTTTCTACCATGTAGATCTCGGACAGTCTTTCTTGATGGTTTCCACCATCTAGATTTCAGACAGTCTTTCTTGATGGTTTCCACAGTGTACATCTCGGACAGTCCTTCTTGATGGTTTCTACCATGTAGATCTCAGACAGTCGTTCTTGATAGTTTCCACAATGCAGATCTTGGACAGTCCTTCCGGATGGTTTCCACCATGTAGATCTCAGACAGTCTTTCTTGATGGTTTCCACCATGGAGATCTCGGACAGTCTTTCTTGATGGTTTCCACCATGTGGATCTCGGACAGTCTTTCTTGATGGTTTCCACCATCTAGATTTCAGACAGTCCTTCTTGATGGTTTCCACCATGTAGATCTCGGACAGTCTTTCTTGATGGTTTCCACCATGTAGATCTCGAACAGTCCTTCTTGATGGTTTCCACCATGTAGATCTCGAACAGTCTTTCTTGATGGTTTCCACCATGTAGATCTCGAACAGTTCTTCTTGATGGTTTCCACCATGTAGATCTCGAACAGTCATTCTTGATGGTTTCCACCATGTAGATCTCAGACAGTCTTTCTTGATGGTTTCCACCATGTAGATCTCGGACAGTCCTTCTTGATGGTTTCCACCATGTAGATCTCGAACAGTCTTTCTTGATGGTTTCTACCAAATAGATATCGGACAGTCTTTCTTGATGGTTTCTACCATGCAGATCTCGAACAGTTCTTCTTGATGGTTTCCACCATGTAGATCTCGGACAGTCCTTCTTGATGGTTTCCACCATGTAGATCTCGAACAGTTCTTCTTGATTGTTTCCACCATGTAGATCTCGTACAGTCCTTCTTGATGGTTTCCACCATGTAGATCTCGGATCGTCCTTTTTGATGGTTTCCACCATGTAGATCTCGTACAGTCCTTCTTGATGGTTTCCACCATGTAGATCTCGGATCGTCCTTCTTGATGGTTTCCACCATGTAGATCTCGTACACTCTTTCTTGATGGTTTCCACCATGCAGATCTCGGACAGTCCTTCTTGATGGTTTCTACCATGTAGATCTCGAACAGTCCTTATTGATGGTTTCTACCATGTAGATTTCAGACAGTCCTTCTTGATGGTTTCCACCATCTAGATTTCAGACAGTCTTTCTTGATGGTTCCACCGTGTAGATCTCGGACAGTCTTTCTTGATGGTTTCCACCATGTAGATCTCGGACAGTCCTTCTTGATGGTTTCCACCATGTAGATCTCAGACAGTCTTTCTTGATGGTTTCCACAATGTAGATCTCGGACAGTCCTTCTTGATGGTTTCCACCATGCAGATCTCAGAAGTCTTTCTTGATGGTTTCCACCATCTAGATTTCAGACAGTCTTTCTTGATGGTTTCTACCGTGTAGATCTCGGACAGTCTTTCTTGATGGTTCCTACCAAATAGATCTCGGACAGTTCTTCTGGATGGTTTCCACCATGTAGATCTCGGACAGTCCTTCTGGATGTAGATCTCGGACAGTCCTTCTGGATGGTTTCCACCATGTAGATCTCGGACAGTCTTTCTTGATGGTTTCTACCATGTTAATCTCAAACAGTCCTTCTTGATGGTTTCTACCATGTTGATCTCAAACAGTCTTTCTTGATGGTTTCCACCATGTAGATATCGGACAGTCCCTCTGGATGGTTTCCACCATGCAGATATTGGACAGTCTTTCTTGATGGTTTCCACCGTGTAGATCTCGGAGAGTCTTTCTTGATGGTTTCCATCATGTAGATCCTGGACAGTCCTTCTTGATGGTTTCCACCATGTAGATCTCGGGCAGTCCTTCTTGATGGTTTCTACAATGTAGATCTCGAACAGTCCTTGATGGTTTTCACCATGTAGATCTCGAACAGTTCTTCTTGATGGTTTCCACCATGTAGATCTCGGGCAGTCCTTATTGATGGTTTCTACAATGTAGATCTCGAACAGTCCTTGATGGTTTTCACCATGTAGATCTCGAACAGTTTTTCT